CACTCCCAGCATCCTTAGCGCCCCCACACCACCGCCACACTCCTAGCATCCTTAGCGCCTCCACACCACCGCCACTCCCAGCATCCTTAGCGTCCCCACCCCTCCACCCCTCCCAGCATCCTTAGCGTCCCCACCCCTCCACCCCTCCCAGCATCCTTAGTGTCTCCACATCACTGCCATACTCCCAGCATCCTTAGCACCCTCACACCACCACACTCCCAGCATCCTTAGCGGCCTCCACACCACCGCCACTCCCAGCATCCTTAGCGCCCCCACACCACCGCCACACTCCTAGCATCCTTAGCGCCTCCACACCACCGCCACTCCCAGCATCCTTAGTGTCTCCACATCACTGCCATACTCCCAGCATCCTTAGCACCCTCACACCACCACACTCCCAGCATCCTTAGCGTCTCCACACCACCGCCACACTCCCAGCATCCTTAGCGCCCCCACACCACCACACTCCCAGTGCTTGTGCTCCACTCCCAGTGCGCTATGTGTTTTATCTCAGCAGGTTTTGTCCCTACAGTGGCCTTGTGCTGGGGATGATTTGCATCCTCTCCCCGTTCCCTGAGCCAGGCTCTCTACAGGTCTGGAGGACACGGGGCCGGGGGGTCTGGCTCACACAGAGGACGAAACTCATCCCCAGCACACAGTTATAGTGTAGGGACAAAGGCTGCTGAGGATAAAACACATAGCAAAAAGGCTGGGAGTGCAGCACTAAGGATGCTATAGGGAGGGCTCTCCAGCCTGCGCAGTGCGTGACTCACATGAACCTAAGTTATCATCACCACCCCTAGGTTATTTGACCCTAAACCTTACAAATAGAGGCTCTTTTGTCTACCCCAAGCTAGATCCACACCTCCACCCCCACACACACCCTTCCATCCATCTCAGGAGAGCTTTCCCTTCTGTCCCAACACTTTTTGAAAACATCTGGGACAGGAAACAGCAGCTTAGAGCAGTGGGAAGAAACTGCAACCCATGAGCTTGAGGATGTCAGAGAGCTTGGAGGCTGAGCTCAACTAGGAGAGAACAGCAGAATCTCCTCCAAAGCAAAGCCAGTTGGAGAAGACCACTCCATGACATTTTTTCCACAGGAAATCAACAGGGCAGTGGTAGTTGAGATTTTTCAGATGCAGGAGTGATTCTTATTTAGCTAAGCTTGTAATAATTAAACTCAAAAGTATCAGCCTTGCACTATATTTTAAAAACAATTCATTGAAACACTGGTGTCCACAGTCACGTAACCCCCCACCAACTATTAACACTAAATTTTTAATATTTTGTTATTAAAGATGCTTAAAAAAAATATGCGGTGTTTTTAAATGATTAACAAGATTCTCTTTACAATGAAATCTTCACTTTGATGAAGCTACACACTAGGAAGCACAAGAGACACTGAAGTGATACAGAAGCACCATCTTCCACTAGAGCAGGGGCAGGCAATTATTTTGGGCAGAGGGCCGCTTACTGAGTTTTGGAAAGCCAGCGAGGGCCGCATGACAGGCAACCCAGGGCAGATTAATATTAATTTTTTAAGGGCCCCGCGGGCCGGAGAGAATGGCCTGGCAGGCTGCATATTGCCCACCCCTGCACGAGAGACACCTGTCGAAGAAAAGGCAGTTGCTGGACTTTGAACAGCAGGCAACAGGTTGGTTACTAAGAACCTGTTCCCACAAACACTTTTGCTTCCGAGATAGATGCAATGTAAAGACGTGTCTTGGAACCTGTTCCTCAAGAGAGTATTCGGAAAAAAAAAAGCCAGAGGGAGAGAGCTTCTGAGAATTGTCACTATAATTTTAAAATACTACAATGTGACGCTGTGACAACTTTTAGTCTTCCCTACATTCAGGGTACAAAAACATGGAGACTATAAATAGTTCTCAGAGTACAAACAGAAAAACGCTTAAGCAAGAGACAGCCAAAAAAGAAAAAAAAAAAGACTAATCCTGTTAAATAAGGGGAGTGGAACTAGGCAGGCCACACAATTTTAGAAACAGATTTGACTGATTGTGGCATTTTGACATGTCCAGCCAGTAGCTGAGCTGGTCATTCCTCTGTTGGAGTCATAACCCTTGGGAACATCCTCAGAAACAGAAGCTGGCAACTGCAGTTACTATGCAAAGTAGGATGCAATGAAAAAATGTCTGCATTCACAGCAGAGGACAAACACTGGCTTAGTTCTCTGGCTTTGCATCTTGTGTGATCATCTACACCTGTACAAAAAGGTGTGAATGGTTTCTATTCTGCTCTGACACCTTTTACCTTGGGTGCAAAACACAAGATGCATGAGAACAGTGCCTCGCTGGATCCACCCAGGAAATTGTTTCTTATGTGACAAATAAAGTAACAAGCAGCTAACCTACTTTGCCTCCTAGCTCCTAACGGACTGACAAGGGGAAAGTCAGGATGCACTTACTTATACTGTAATAACAAGTACAGATTATGCAGTGGCTTGTTGCTTTCCATCTTCACAGAAGCCAGGCAAAGCAACCACCTAAATTAAGGGAGGTGGCACCGAACTATGCTTGTCACACAGTGAAATACAAGACAAAGCAACTGTGGCTGCAGCAGCCTACGCTAAAATGAATGGAAGAGGCATTTCAAAACTGGTTTTTCAGAGGGAAAATGCACTGTTCACTGGATTATTTTTGTCCCAGCATCTAAGCTACAACATCTACAAGACTTCCATGTGCTCACAATATTTACTGCTGACCATTCAGAATACAATGTAGAAGGGGGTAGGGCATTTTGGATGTCCTGTTTCCTAAACAGAAGAATCCAAACTTCATAACTCTGCCCCTTTACTGTCTGCCTGCCCCTACTGCCACTGTCCACATCAGCTTCTCAACAGAACATCGGACCTGCTCCCCTGTTGCATCTTACACATGCAGCACCCTCTCTCAAGTGATGTTAGGCCAATCTACTTTCCTCCATCTCAAGACCCATCCTGCATTAGGATGCTAATTAACGATGGCTAAGCAAAGTATCACTAGAAAGCTGCACATATTTGATTGTATTCCTTTCCCTGCAAACTGTTTTAGATTGTTTCTCCCCTTCTGTATTTGCAGTTTAATGAGGCCCTATCTGTTGAGACTAGTCATAGAAATAATCTTGCCAGATATCCCTAAGGCTATGGTAGAACATGTTGGTGCAAGAGTCAAGGATACAAGGTCAAGGTTTGCCCCAGAAGCAGGAGGCTGACTGGAACTCTGTGGAAAGAAACACATCTCTGACTTCCTTTTAAAAAAGTTTATTACGTAAATATAGGATGTGGGCTAAGTCCCCGTCTCCTACTCTGCTTTACAAATTCCAGTGCTCCATGCTCAGAACACAGTTGCTGAACAACTGCCTCGCCTTTCCCACCAATGAGCAAGCTGATTAGGTGCATCATGTAGTTTGCCCAAGGTCAGATCTCATCTACCAAACGACTGACAAAGCAAAGAGGTTGGTCTGTTTCCTCCAGTTGAGACAGCTGTATTTGAAGGACTAAAGACATCTGTGGGGAAAAAAACAAACCAAAACAAAAAAAAAAACAAAAAACACTCTCTTCCCACCACCCCAAAAACTCAGTTCTTTCCAGAGAACGTAAGAGATGCCTAAGAGCATACACGTTGTTAGCATCGCTGATGGACACTACGATCCAAAGATTTTTTGCATCACACCCTCCAAGAGTTGGATTCATCCAGAAAACAGTGTAGCTGTGACTTGTTTTAAAAAATATTTCTTTAATCGTATGTGTTGTACTGTGGAGGTCTGAGGGGAGGGAGGGGCTTTTGTCCACGTTTTCAGCGAGGTATCGTTCTCAAATTAGCAATGGGAACCCTGGGGGCTGCGGCACCTTCAGTCTGTGGATTCCAATACGGATTCGCTCAGAGCCAGGTCCCAGTAATGCTCTGCTCCGTGCTTCTTAAAGTGCTCCCGTGCCATGTTTTCAGTGGGGCACTGCTTAAATTTCATTTCACCGAAGCTGCGATCCTTTGCTGTGCCCTGAAACACAAAGAGGAGAACTTTTCTGATGTACAAACTACCAAAAGGGATCAAGACTGCTTCTTTCAAGCTTAGCGGCAGTTGTTTCCCAGATCTCTAACCAGGTATGCAAAGACGAACTAGAATTTGTATAGTGAAATCAGCCATTATTTTTGTTTGTGCAGCAATGAAAACTTGTCTATAAAAGGTCTTAAAATGCTGCCAATCTCTACTCCCTTTTTCACAAGGCTTGTTTTTAACTCAACTACCAGGAGACACTTCCTTGAATTTTGCAGATTGAGACATATCCAGGCCCATATAATTATAGCCAGTGGATGGCTTTGAAGGCTCCAGGTTTTATTTCTATCCGTCTCTGCTTTGGTATACACAAGAGTTAATATCCTTTATTATACTCTGCACTATTATACTATAACTAAAGACCCTGGATGTACTCAATTTTTAAAAACATCTTAAAACAGTTTTTGTAACGTTTCTTAACGATCATGAAAGCCAAAGAGTGCAAGCACTTGACTAGTCACTCGTGAGCTATCCAGTCCGAATCCAGGAGAGCTATGCAGTCGTACCATATCTGGTCCAAGCTCCTCTTCAAGCTGCGAGTGTAGTTCCAACCATTTGTTAGGCATCACTTGCTTTCTGCTCTATAAGGTTTGGTTATGCTGCCTCTCTGGAAGAGCATTTGAAACTCAGGATGCTTCATATGAATGGTGAATATCTGAATGGGAACCGAACTCCTACAATCCCCCCAAACTTCCCAGGGCGAAACCCTTTAAAATCTTATCCTGCTTAGCAACTGCCCGGAAGCCTGACTGTAAAAGTATGAGCACTGCCTGCACAGAAGTCACCATGCTTTCATTTTGCGTGCTTGTTCTCATCTGCAGCAATAAGAAGCCAAAACGACTCAGAAATCAGCACTCCAGCTAAGCTGCAAAATGCTCCTTTAATCAAGTTCAGAACTTACCTCCCAAACCAGAGAGCATTTGTTTGTCTTTTTCACAGATTCCTCATCCGATTCATCTTCTGAAAAACAGAGCAGACTCCAGTACCACAGGAAGCAAAAAGCTTAAGGCAACCACTAATAAAGCACTGAGGATTTCCCCACCCAAAGCTTAATGCAATGACAGTCAGAGCCATGTTTTGATTCTCTCCCCCTGCTTGTTCCACTCCCAGTACACATTCGCCCTCCAAATCCCAGCTCCATTTCTGGTATTTTGACTATGACTTCTATATTTCTGTTTTTAGAGGAGCATACGGATGCTTGCTGATTTTTTTTTCACCCATAGAAAAGAAGAACATAAGAACTGCCATCTACTGGGTCAGACCATATGTCCATCTTGCCCAGTCTTGCCCAGGGATAGAGTGGATGCTGAAAGGGAAAGTGAACTGGGTCTGACCAGGGTTTTTTCCCCCTGTTCCTCTCTCACTTGCAGCCTCCAGCATTTAAAGGCTAGGCTAGGAAGCTCCGATTCAGAGGCTGTGCTTCTCACTCTCATGCTACTGATGCCCCTTTCCTCCAAGTATGTGTCCTGTCCCTTTTTGAATCTGGCTAAACTGTCAGCTTCCACCACATCTAGTGGCAATGAGTTCCGTACTTTAATGACACTGTGTCAAAAAGAACATCCTTTTGTTAGCTTTAAACTTATGGTCTACTGGTTTCACTGTGTGACCCCCAGTTCTTGTACAGTAAGAAACAGTCAATATTTAATCCCTATGGACTCTCTCTTCACCCTTTAGTATTTTGTAAGCCATTCTCCTGTCTGTCCCCCTCCTCCCCCCTCCACTCCCCCATCTCTTTTCTAAACTGAACAGGCCTGGCCTCTAAGTCTTAAGTCTCTCCTCCTACAGAAGCCTCTCCATACTATAAATTATCCTCATTGCCCTTCTCTAGTTCTCTATATTCTTTCCGAGGTGTGCAGACCAGAACCAGGCATGGTATTCAAAGGCATGGATGCCCCACAGATTTATAAAGAGGCCTGATGATACTTTCCATTTTGTTCACAATTCTCTTAATAATCCTTAATGTTCTGCTTGCCTTCTTGACAGATGCTGAGTACTGACCTGCTGTTTTTAGCAAACAGCCCACTCACTCCCAGATCTCTTTCCTGTGTGGTAACAGCTAATGTAGAGCTCATCATAAAGTAGCTCTAGTTTGGGATATTTTTGCTCATGTGCCTTTCCCTTCAATTTTTCAGAGAAAAATTTTCCTGTGTATTTATTGCTGATTATGTTATACCTATCATTTCATATCTGAGCACAAAATTCAACATCAGTTACTGCTGGAAGTCTGACTTCCTTGCACAGAAGTGACTGCATCACATTTATTTTTATTCACCTTTCAGGGCCCATCATGTGCTTAGAAAAAACGCTATGCCCACAGTTTGGTCTCACAAGCAATGCAGGACTAGAATATAAGTGTCTATATACTGCAGTAACATCTAGCGGTCATTCAATCTGAAGTGGTTCAACCCTGGACTAAGTGCAGCACAACCCATGTGTGAAACCATAATGTGCCCTGAGGAGATGACAAATCTACAATAGCCACAGATCAAGTGCCATTTTCACAGTACAGTGGTTCTCAGCACTGTCCACACACATCCATGTCAGTAAGGCTTTAGTGTCTGGTGGTCTGGACTCCTCCTCTAAACTGCACCAGACTTATAACTGAAAAGTCAGCTCAAGCTGCACAGTAGGTCAGAATACAGACAGGAGGTGCAGATATAGCAGAAGTGAGCCTGTCAAACTGGTGCCTGTAACAGCAAGGAGTGTCAGCCAGCACTAAAATGCCCCACTTTTTAATCATTTAAATCACAGTCCAATAATCTGCTTCGTTTTAGGAGTCTGGATGATCCTAAAGAAAGGATCTCTTCACAAAACCCTCTTGTGGAGCAAGAAAACAGTCTCTCTCTCCTTGGATCTCTCAGGGGCACTTTAATAATTCTTCCAGTGGCAGGACTCCACCAACTCTTGTCCCCCTGCTTTAACATGGCAGATTAGGTTGCTTGAGCTGTTTTGGGGCAATATACACCTTGTAGTTATGCAACAGGGTTGATTTGTGTAGTTTTAGGAGCAGGATAGAACAAGCGCTTGTATGGGATGGTTTGGCTAGGGCTGATGCTGCTTTGAGCAGGGGACTGGGTTAGATGACTCCCTGGGGCTCTTCCATCCCAACTTTTCTATGATTCTATGACAATAAGATGACCTTACTGTCACTTCTTGATAATCACAGCAGCTAGGCTTTCTAAATAATGGCACGGCTATATACTTACCATCTCCCTTTGTGTTTGAAGTCTGCTCATCCCATTTTATTCGATGGAGCATAAGACGCTTGAATTTCTTCTGTGCTTTTGGGCCTGGTAAAGAAAGATTGTGAGAATTGTTTTCACAATGAGTTCAAGACCTTTTGCTGAGTTTTAAGTCAGGGCCACATTTTGCCTGCAAAACCTAAGTCACAGCTAGTAACACTTGACATCAGAGATGCAAAACTGAACACAAAAAATCTGCTCACTGACAGCAGTGGACAAAGATAACATTGTAGACCAATAAGAGAGGCACCGTCTGGCCCCAGCACATGTCTGGGAACAAGCATTCCTTCATTCTAACACAAGCTCGGATATCACCACTCTTCCGTGGCCTCTGGCAAGTCACTTGCCTTCTGTGCCATCAAGTTTCCCCGGCTGAAAAAGGGAGGTGATACATTATACAATGAATGCAGAGAATGCCTCTAAAGCACTGTGCAAGCTGTAAGCATTTTAGCAGACTCAAACAGGATAGAGAGTTCCCTCATGTTTTCAAAGCACCGAGGCTTCATGTCTGGCATATTTAACAATGCTGGCATCGTTTAAAGTATACGCTGCAGTTTAGATAACAAGGTGGCTACAAAGTATGTTGTAGTGTGCTAAGGACCAAAGTCAGAGCTGAACAAACCAAAGCAGTGACATAATGCCCCACAAATCCATAAATCCCCTTAACTAGTGATCTATCTGGGTATCTTTTAGAACGAGGCTTTTAAGCATGTGATAATTAAAAGCCACATCCTTAGACCTTACCTCCTTCCACCACGACCACGTTAACATCCTTGTGCAAAACCACCACTCCTGTTAAGTACAGCTGGTTTGCATTTGCTTCAATTTTGAATTTTTTTGCTGGGTTGCTCAGATTTCTGACTCTAAAGGGCAGGAAAGCAAATGTTTAGTTTAAAAAAGGAACTACAGAACTAGGAGCAAGAGAAATAATACAGTAAGACATCCTTTCCAACTCAGCACTGTACTTATTCTCACTTCCCCCTCTCCATCAGAGGGGCATTTGGCTTATACCTGCTGCTAACCTAGGGTTCTGGTCCTAAACCAATTAAAACACACCTCTCTGTGTTTTTATACTATCTAGTATACCAATGTCACATCCTGCCAGGTCTAAGCACGATAAACATAACATTATGAAGTAATATCACTTTTTATCTGACTTTTGAAAGCTCTATCAAACATCAGGACTCCTGGGTTCTACAACTAGCTCTGCTTGTGAGCCTGGCCAGGCCCGTGGTGGGGGCGGGGGAATCAATCACCTCATCCTTGGACATCAAGTGAGATGTGCTACAAAATAGCTTAGAGTGATAAGACTTTGCATCTAATACTCAACCATGGCAAGATAAGTTATGTAGTCAGTCATTTTATTCACTTTGGGATAGTAGGGCAGGGGGCATCTCTCACTCTATACCAATTTAAGCAAGAGTCAGTATTTTTAAAGGGAGTTCAGGGTGTCAGATGACAAGAGTCTTGTGTTAAAAGAACCTGCCATACCAGCAAGAACCCACACTTAAGTTTGGCGTGTGCACTTACAAAAATGACTGATGGAGAACCCATATATTGGGACTCCATGGTTCCTGACTGAGCAGAGCACTCACCTGTACACAGCTATGTGAACTCCCTGTGAAATATCTTCTTTCAGCTTTTTAACCTTCTTTGCTTTTCTCTGTTCTGCTGTTAGCTTTCGTGCAGCGTTTGCCTCTTCATGAGCTCTGTATGGGAAGACACACAAAATCGGTAAGCAGAAATGCAGCTTACTGGATCTCTGGGCTCATACCTTTTGGTTCTATGAACAGAGTTCAAGCCAGGGAGCATGCCCTATAAACCAACATATAGCAGCAGTGACCTGGGCTCTTCCCAATCCCAGGTACCTTAGAGGCACACTGAAACCAGCAACTGGACTCACTTGCAACAGATGGTGTCCAGCTACAGAGGGACTAGGCCAGGTTGGGACATGCATGCAGCTCTGCCTCTGTCCAGGAAACTGACTCTCCACCATAAAAAGGGAGATCAAGTGACACAGCCCATGTAGCTCTTCGCCTTCTGTCTGCAGCTGGACAACTAGTGCTAATTACATGAGTGATTTATGGTGTGAGCTCAAACAAAACCAAGCAACTCATTTAGGCAGGTCATGATGTCATCTTTAAATTTACAGTCACAGTGTTATGGGCTGGATTTAATTGAGTGGAAACAAAGCACAGGGGCCTTGTATCCTTACCACATCTTGAAAAACCCCAGTCCCTCCAGTTGCTTGTAATTTCTGAGACTCCACAAACCGTGATATTAATTCAGGAACTGAGCTTCAGTTTAAGAGACTGATCAATTCCCTTTTCTGCAGTGAAACCTCTGCATTTCCCAGATAGCTTCCTTCAAATAGTATGATGGGTGTATGCTGTCTCTCTCTGCTTTTTTGTTAGAAAGAGTAATCTAGAATTTTGCGATTCGATCCAGAACTTTGTGATTCAGCTTCAGGGGATTCAATGCTACTGGCTCAAGTTAACTAGGACATAAAGTCATTACTACCCAAACAGTGGGTGGATAGTCTGTGAAGCAAGTTGCTGGGTCTCAGTCTAACTCCTGGAAGGGAGCCAGAGCCCCTTCCTGGCTCTCTGTGTGTGATGTGTATATACAGGGGAGGGTTCAGTGTTTAAGGACTGAAGCCTCATCTCCCCCGTCTTGAAGGCTCTGAGAGCTAAAACCCGAAATACACTGAGGGGGTGAAGGGAAGGAAAACAAAAATCGCAGTGCTTCTCCCTTTGCCGTACTCATCCTAAAACTCAGTGGATGACGGACCATCTACGCAGCTGTTCACACAGCACTGGTACTAAAAATCCACCTTAAGACAAAGAAAGCCAGGACATGCAACTTACTTCTGCCTCTTCGCCATCTGTGCTCTAACATGAGCTTCCACTTTTGTTGGGTCCTGAACAGCTTCTGTCCCCAGTACTCGCATCAGGTTGGAAATTCTTACTGCAAGGAAAAGACAGAAATCCCTTTGAACAATTATTCAGGGGTGTGATCTAGTTCCTAGAAGGTAGCCAGCCTTGCTCAAAAGCTAGTATTTTAACTGAGCCTCTGGGTGACAACTGTTGGGGAAGGAGGGTGAAGGGGACACTTGCCATAATTCGGGATTAAGCACATTAATTTGGGATTAAGCACGCTTCTTGGCCTTTTCGCTCAGATTAAGCGTGTAGTTCCTGGAAATACAGGATGGAAGATGCAGTGAGATTTTAAGAAAGGGAAAAGCCCAATCTTGAGTGCAAGTTTTACACTAAGAAGAAGTGAATGCAAAGATTTTTAAAAACAAAAGCAAGGTAGGGGAAGGTCACCTGACAAAGATACAAAACCATTTCTAGACAAGATCAGATCCTCTCCACAACTCTTGTTCCTAGTACTGTTTTAAGACCTTTCTGCAGAGCAGTAATTCTCAACCTGGGTGCCATGGCACCCCAGGTTCCTTGAGATTCTTTCAAGGGTGAGGTGGGATGCCATATAACGTTAGCACTGTTAGGTGTGCAAACACGAGTCACAAGATAAACCCAGAACTTTCAACTAGGAATCTATAATGTTAAAAACGTTCTGCTCTGTTGTAGTCTTGGAGTTCCCTGCAATAGAAGAATTGCTCTGGTATTTTTCTGAAGTCAAAAAGTGAGTGAAAACTAAGAGCTGACATTTCCTCAAAAGGGCCTCAAGTCTAAAAAGGTTTAGCCCTACTGCTGTAGTGCCTTTTTAAGGCACAAAATACTTCAAAGAATTACTAGCTACATGCATAGTTCCCACCTACCTCTGAAGTGCAGACATTTCTGGGGTAGTGTGGCAGGCTGGTAAACAGCAAACAATACTAGATAAAAGCCGAGGTGGAAAAACCATTCCTCAATTCTGAACGTGCCATGTGGCCTTTAAATTCTAAATGCACGTTCTGCACTTGGTTACTACCCCAGTGCAACTCCAATAGTGCTAGTGGAATTGCTGGGGGCAAAGATCAGCCTAGATGCTTCTCTGTGTGCCTGGGGCTGGATGTAGTTACTGAGTGGAATCATATGGGCCCATCATGCACCTGAGATTATGCAGTCTTTGCTAACCTTAGAAGTCTACAAAATCCACACATAGGCTGTGTCCACACAAGAGTGGATGTTTGTTTCCCTGTGGACAAGAAGCAGCAGTATACTTTATACCGCTGCTGCTTGTCCCTGGGGAGCACCTGTGCTATGAGCCCTCTAGTACATGGCAGGTTACCCCAAGTGGGGAAGGGGAGGCTGGCCCCAGCAGCGGGCTGGCCCCAGCAGCGGGCTGGCCCCAGCAGCCTTACGTGTGGTCCTGGGGGCCTTCTAGGGCTGCAGCAGTAGTGATCTTGCCGCTCGGAGCGTGGCCAGTAGCTGGAGTATGGCTCTAGCTGGCCAGGCTCTGGTTTTGGGTGGTGCGTGCTGCCCCCATGTACACCACTCCACTTTTTTTTTGCCCAGGTTTTTCTGACCCTGGGATCCCCTGGGGTCACCCCCCCCACTGCTACCTTGCAGTGCAGAGAACAGCTGAATGTGCAGTATGTGGTGCCGCAGATGGCCGCACTCATCTGGATGTGTCCAGAGTGCAAATCCACTAAAATCTATATGATTTCTCAAACACTGTTGCTGCTTTGCCTGCTAACAATTTTTCACCTAATCATCTAGTCCTCACTGTGAATCCCTGGGGCCAGGTTTTAAAGTGGTGCT